TTGTTCTGCAAACCTTCATCTAAGGTACAAAAAAAAAATAATAATAATTATCTATGTGAGTTCAAACTGACAACAGCAACTCAGAAGGTTTCATGGGAAGCCTAGGGGGCAGTGAGTTGAAGATAATGGTGATGGAATAATCTGGAAAAGGGTAGTGAGAATAGCAGCACAACTGGAAGAATGTAATCAATGTCACTAAATTGTATATGTAGAAACTTTTGAAATGGTGTAACACTGGCTATGTATATTTTCATCAAAAAAAAAAAGGTCCTCCAAGATGGAGAAGGGAGAGTGTTGACATGTTGTGGGGTTGTTAACCAATGTCACAAAACGATATGTGTACTGACTGTTTAATGAGAAACTATTTGTTCCGTAAACCTTCATCTAAAGTACAATAAAAAAAATAAAAAAAATAAAAAAAATCCAAGGGATAGAACTTGGGGAAAAAAAAAAAAAAAAAACCTGTAGGCACTACTCAGGAAGGTGAGACTGATTAGTTTTGTCTTTAAAAACAAAAAAAACAAAAAAACTGAAAACTATAAGCAAAAAAAAAATTATCCACTTACTTGGGGAACCACTTGGCATGTTCCTTCCAAGGATCATCTCCTTCTTCCCAATTTCCTAAACATCCACCACAGGAAAAACACTGCACAGTGTCCTTTTTACCTATATATGAAGGAAAATATTTAGATTGCACAGCAATGGCACTATGGGGTAGTCCAGAAGGTGTGTTGTCTCCAGGAATTCATTGTTCAGCATGTGAACAAGACATGCTCCAGTAGCATATACACTTATATCCTTATCTGGCTGCATCTCCATCCACAGCCCCACTGTCCTAAATGACCACATTCTAAGCTCTCGGACTCCATTCTTTGTCTATAGCCATATTTCACATACTATACCCTCCACTGCTTAACTCAATATGCCTGCCCCAATTCCTTTGCAGAGCTGGTATTTTGCTCTGTGATGAGAAAGCGACAAAAATCAGGAGTAAAGCACAGTTAGAAGACCCACATTTCAGCTTTGCTATGAAATTTCTGTGAAACTTTGGCAAGTTTCTTGAATTCTATGAGCCTCAATGACTTCAACTCTGAAATGGGGGCAATGGGGCAAATTTGTTGGATTAGAATTAGTGCTCAATCTCCTGCCTAGCATGATCGTTGCTGTTATTACAACCCTCATTCACATCTGTTGTAACATCTATGGCGTACCTAGGACAATTCAAACAAAGTGCAACTTTCTGAAATGCAATTTGCTTTATACATTAGTTAGCCCTAATATTAAGAAGAAGAAAAAAAAAAACTAAATCCTCCAATACCGAATAGCAGTTAAGAGAATCAAAGAGGATCACGTAGGAGCAGTGGAAGGAGGATGAGTGAGATGGAGACTAGGGTCAGGCTGATCTCGTGACTTATTTTTAGTGCCTTACCAAAGCAGCCAGTATTTCCTAAGGTCCAAATTTAAAGATAAATAACTTTCTGATAATATGTATGTTGTTGCTGGGTGCCATTGAGTCAATTTTGACTCAGAGCAACCCCATTTGACAAAGTAGAACTGTCCCATAGGGTTTTCTAGGCAGTAATCTTTATGGGAGCAGATCACCAAGTCTTTCTCCCATGGAGCCACTGAGTGGGTTCCAATCACCAACCTTTCAGTAAGCAGCTGAGTGCTTAACCCTTGTGCCGCCAGGGATCCTTGTTAATATGTATATATTCTTGGTAAATTAACACATTGAACTAAACCCAAAACAAAAGTAAAATACTAAAATTAAATTTTAATAAAATAGACCTTATACCTAATATGACTGCGGTGTAATGAAGTACTTAATGTGGCCCTCCTAGCATGGTCTTTATGACTCACACACAGTAATTAAGTGGGACTATATAAATAAGACATATGGAACCTGTGATGGTTGAAGTTATGTGTCAACTTGGCTAGGCCATGATTCCCGATATTGTATGGTTGTCCTCCATTTTATGTGTTGTGGGTCCTGACTTCTACATGTTGATAAGGCAGGATTGGTATAGGGTGTGTCTTGGGAAGCCTTGCCAAGTCCCACCCTTACTCAAGTTATGCCCTTCCCTGGGGTGTAGCCTGCATCTAAGATAGATGTATGTGTCCTGGGGGAACTCTCTCTCTGCATCTGGATCCCGTGTCCGGTTTGTGATCAATTGACCTCCAGTTCTTAGAACTTGAGCCAGAGGCTTGCTGTCTGACCTGCTGATTCTGGGACTGGAAGAGGCTGCATAGGCGTGGCTCACTATTATTTACTCCCCATTGCTAACCGCCATATTGTCTCGTGATTTTGTTTTTCCCTCCGGTTCCCGCCTCTACAAAAGTTTTAAGATTAACCGATGTTCCTCCCTGGAGGGTGGAAAGCAAGTGATAATGATCTAAGAGTGAAAAACAAAACAAAGCACCCATCTTGCGACAAGAAAAGGCAGGATGTCGCCAGATAATCCCCAAGGATGTCACCAGATAACCTCTAAGGATACCAGTAGAAGGTTGACTCATCTAAGACATCACCACCTCAAGGGGAAACTAACCCAAACTTCTAAGATCCATAATCCTGTCCCTATAAAAGCCTTCAGCGTATCTCCAGTGGGAGAGACGGGTTTTTTGGAGGAATCTATTCCCCTCTGTCTCCTATACATCTATATATAATAAACATCTTGCTGCTCACCTCACCCCCGTCTCAGAATTGGCTATGGCGGCAGGGGGCTCCAATCTGCGTTATTGGGGTGACAGGATTCACCCTTGGGCCTGCGGCCTATTGTGTGACATGATTCACCAGCTTCTGTAGCCTTACGAGCCAGCAGCGTGTATTTAGATTCGTCAGCTCCTGCAGCCACATGGGTCTGGAGAAGCCTATGCCTGACCCACGAATTTGGAACTTGCCAGCCTGCACAACCACATGAGCCATTTCTTTTATACGGTTTGTGAGTTCTGTGAGATGTTGCAGTGAATTAGGGAACCCAAACTCGAGAGGGAGAGTACTGAGGAGAGAGGGAGTAGTTGATATTAGAGATGATGGAGAGCTACAGCAGTTTGGAAAAGTTAGACATTTGGGACACCTTTAACTTTCGACTCATAAGAACCAGCTTTGTGCTGATTCTTATAAAAGAAATTATTTGTTTTAGTGAAGAAAGAGTCACAAAATATTGCAAAAGTAACTGAAATATGGAATCTGATGTTAAAACTCCAGAGAAACACTTTAGAAAATGATTTCAAGTTACCTGTAAAGACAAAGCCAGCTGCTGAAAGCTCACTTGGGAATATTCCTTGGGCATAAAACGGCCAGTTCTTGAAGGATTCAAGTCTGGGCTCCTCTTCTTGGTACCTTACTTTGTCCCCTCTCAAGTTTTTCTCCAGATTCTTTACCCTTATATCATACTTCCCAATGTTACCAACATCTTTGCCCAAAAGGAATTCACAGTCTGGATGTAACTTCTTGTGGTCTTCTATGGGAAGTCTCCTGAGGCTGGCACCAAAAAGGATTAAGCTACAGCAGAAGCACTGAATCCCAGATTTTACTCCTGTGAAATAAAACCCAGCAGCTGCCATCTCCTGAGGGGTCCAAGAGCTGTACGGATTATAAGTTACAAAAGACTTTAACCTCTTTGCTTCACTGCGCATTCGTGAGTTAAAGCCCTTCTGCATTTTTGCTCGGTCTTTCCGCTCCTCCTCTTGTAGTTCCTTTCCAAATTTAACTGCATCTATGCCCAGATGAGGAGACAGCTCTCGCAGAAAAGCATAATCAAACTGGCAAATCTCATCAGAGACCTTCTCCTGGGTGGCCATTTTCTGGAAAGAGAAGGAAAAGTAGGTTGACTGGGTATAGTAACATGTTTGTTATAAAGAGAACTTCCCATCATTTCTGAAGAAGGCAGGAATTGAAGGAGGGACTGGACTTTCAAGTCAAAAGAGAAACTGGGAAATTATAAAGCATCAGTATTCGTCCACTTAATCAATCAATAAATATTTACTAAACAACTACTGTGCGTCAAGTGGAGTTCCTGGGTGGTGCAAACAGTTAACCACACTTGGCCACTAACTGAAGTTTGAGTTCACCTAGAGGTGCCTCTGACTGAGATCACAATAGAGAGTCCCAGACAAAGCGAGAGAAAAATGTGGAACAAAATTCAAATGCACAAAAAAGACCAGACTTACTGGTTTGACAGAGACTGGAGGAACTGCTAAGACTATGGCCTCCAGATACCCTTCTAATTCAGAACTGAAGCCACTCCAGAAGTTCACCTTTCAGCCAAATATTAGACAGCCTATAAAACAAACAATAACACCCGTGAGGAATGTGTTCCTTAAATCAATCAAATATAGGAGACAAAATGGGCAATACCTGTCCAAAAGCAAAGATGAGAGGGCAGGAAGGGAAACGGAAACAGGGAACCTGGGGTAGAAAGAGGGGGAGTGCTGACATATTGCGGGGATTGCAACGAATGTCACAAAACAATTTATGTATAAATTGTGAATGAGAAACAAATTTGCTCTGTAAACTTGCACCTAAAGCACAATAAAATCTAAAAAAAAAATGAATATGACCCATAAGTACTGTGCTCCTTTAGAAAAATCACCTATATGAGACCAAACGGTCAATAATCAAGGCAAAGATGAGAATGTAAGGGGGGGAGGGAAACTAGATTAATGGAAACAGAACAACCAGAATGGAAGTAATGAGAATACTCACACACTGTGAAGAATGTAATCACTGTCACTGAACAACTTGTATAGAAATTGTTGTATGGGAACCTAAACTGCTGTGTGTAAACTTTCACCGAAAACACAGTAAAAGATTATTTTTAAAAAAAACAAGCGGAAGAAGAAAGAAAACCCTATGGAGCACGGTTCTACTCTGACACCCCATGAGTTGGAATGAATTGATGGCAACTGGTTATGGTTATGTGTCAAGTATTGTGCTAGGCATTGGGGATACAGCAACAAACAAGACACACACAGATCTGACTCCATTCATGGAGCCATCAAACTAGCAATTACGGAGACACTGTAGAAACACAGGCATATATTTACCATTTATGTCAAGGAAAAATATATACAAAATTGCATATAGTCTGATAGCAACAATTTGAAAAATTACTCCATCCTTAAAAATCATTATTTTAATTTTGTTCACCTTCTAAGTTTCAGTGCTCTGTGCCAAAGCTCTATAATTATGCTCTATCATAATTATGTTATAGGTTCTATAAATACAGATTTCTGAACTATTTCCTCTTATTTATAAATCATAAAAGATTGTCATAATAATAAATATATGCCCACAATGTACTCCTTAATGACTCAATTACTCCCCTGGGGTAGACGTTTATCTTGTTGCCATTTTTTTTCTTCATTAAACAAAGATGAGTTGAGTATCTTTGTAACAAAATCTTTTTTTCAGTCTTTATTATTTCCTCAGGATAAACTCCCAAAAGAAGAATTATTGAGTCAAGTCATATGCATATTTGTAAAGATTTCTATATATGTTGCCAAACTGCCCCAGAGAAGGGTCAAACAAGGTCCATTTTACATTTAATATTGTCAGGGTTTTGGTTCTCCCCAAGATGGTTCACTTAGCCTGGTTGTTTCAGATCTTAAAATAATTTTATGTCCTTCCATAACAGAAGCAGTCATTTAAAGCCCAATAACAGGCCAACAATTGTTTTTCAAAGGAAACATTCCTGGCATCTGCCCCCAGTAACTTTCTAGTCCAAAATCCCAGCGGTCAGTCATCCTTGGGTGGCAGTCACGGGCTTTGCCAGAGGCTCCAATCAGTGTGTGTTGCTGGCACTTTTAATAAACTTCTAACTTGAGCATTGAGGTTGTATGGCCCCAAAAGAATCAATTTTAAAATAAAGGGATACCTTAGTATCATCATATAATCAATCCAAAGATGCTTGCATTCTCAACATGTCAGCAACCTCAGAAAGAGTATTTCATTTAATACCTACAAGTGATGCTGATCAGTTCCGTTTTCAAGGTTTTACGTACCCCTGCCTTTATCTAGTTCAACAGATTAGGAATTTGTCCATTTCTGCAAAAGTTGCAGCTAACTGAAGATCTTGATTAAGACCAAGAATTTCCTTCCATTTGACAGTACCTACACTCTGCTGCTAATGGAAAGGTTGGTGGTTAGAATCTACCCAGTGGCACCACGTAAGAAAGGCTTGGCAATCTACTTCTGTAAGATCACAGTTATTGAAAATCGTGTGGAGCACAGTTCTACTTTGACACACATGGGGTCACCTTGAGTCAGAACTGACTTGATGGCAACCAGTTTTAATGCAAGAAAAACAGCTTCTTTGTCACCAATGCGTAAAATCCATTTCAGCAGTGGTTCCTCAGGAAGCTTTCTGTATCAGTTCACAAGGTTACTTAGCTCTTTGAATAGCAACTTGTTTCAGTTGTGTCTCGATACCTTCCCCCATAGAGTCTTAATTAAATACATACATATATATATATATATATAGAGAGAGAGAGAGAGAGAGAGAGTTAGTAGTTAAGCTAGTAGTTAAGAGATAGAGCTCCTAACCCAAAGGTCAGCAGTTCGAATCTACCAGCTGCTCCTTGGAAACCCTATGGGGCTTGATGGCACTGGGTTTTATATATATGCATACATACCTGCCCAGCTGTCTTTTGGCATCAGGTACCTTCTGTTTACAGAAAGGACCACTAGCTTGCTGGATTTGGCAGCCTAGGGCTCTTTCTTAATTGGTTTCATTTTTGTCAAAGCAGCCAAAACCAGCCAAGGTACAGTATTCTTGCCTGACTTCCCCTGTCTGAATTTCCTTTTAAGTCCATTTAGCTATTTCCTCTGGCTCTGGATGTACCGCCTTCAAGCTGATTTGCCTTTCCTCTCATCAATAGTCACTGTGCTTTAACGAACTCAAACCAAGGATGCCTCAGCAGCCAGCCTGGCACCAATGGTTCTAAATCATCATTCTCCCACTTTTCATCTTTCTTTCTCCCAGACAAAGCTTTAGCCATAGCTTAAATTATACAGTCAAAAATTGTTTCAATTATCCCATTCACAGTGCCATTTACAGCAATTGCACAGGGTTGGATAATTAAAAGGACACAAGAGACTTTAGATGGTATACTTACATAACCCAAAAAACAAAACAAAAAAAACCATTGCCATCGAGTCAATTCTGACTCACAGCAACCTCATAAGATGAGTAGAACTGCCCCATGGGGCTTCTGAAGCTGTAAATCTTTACAGAAGCAGACTCCCACATCTTTCTCCCATGGAGCAGCTGGTGGGTTCGAACTGCTGACCTTTTGGTTAGCAGTTGAGCAGGTAACCACTGCACCACCAGGTCTCCTCATACTTACATAAGGCTTTAATAAAGGCAAAGGATGTGATTTAAAAAAAGAAAGAAGAATAAGAAAGCAAGCAGAGGCAAGCATCAAAGAGGTCTGAGACTTGTAGGCTCAGCTCCTAGGGACCTTTCTCAGACGTAGAGGATGTGCTTCAATTTTGAATAATAAACTACCTAGCTCTGGGAAGCCACAATGTTATCTGAAGAGGGGAGGTCTTTTAGATCCCTCTGGCCATGTGGTCAGGAGTCCCTGGGTAGTGCAAACAGTTAAGTGAGCGACTATTAACCGAAAGGCAGGTGGCTCGAACCCATCCAGCAGCATCTTGGAAGAACAAACTGGTGAGCCATTGAAAACCCTATGGGGCACAGCTCTACTCTGCCACACATGGGGTCTTCATGAGTCGGAATTGATTTGATGGCAACTGGCTTGGTTTGGTCACTTGGTCAAAACTAGGCTGCATGACCAGGCTCAAAAACCGAAACAAGCTGGTACTGGCTACTCCCTGGTCTGTCTCAGACCCTAGCCCGTGACTACATTAATCACTGGTAAGTACATCTCATTCCGCCATGGCCAAGGGATAGCAGCATGGCTGCAGGCCTTCCCAGGGATAAATAAGCACAGGGTTGCAACAGCCCAGCTGAGACCAATCCCGTATTTGCATAACAAAGTTCAGTAGTCAGTTTTGCTGGTCCTGAGGCCATTTCTGGAGCCCTGGTGGTGTAGAGTTAAGAGCTCAGCTGCTAACCAAAAGTTTGGCAGCTCAAATCCACCGGGAGCTCCTTGGAAACCCTATGGGGCAGTTCTACTCTGTCCTATAGGGTTGTTATGAGTCGGAATTAACTCGACAGCAACGGGTTTGGTTTTTTGGAGGCCATTTCTAGATAGCAGAGATTGAGAAGGCCCTCTCTAGGTCTAATATTCTTTGCATACAAGTACTCAGGGGGCCATCAAGGCAAGCATGCTGTGGGGATGGGATTTAAACCCAAGTCTGGTGATGCGATGGTTAAGTGCTTGGCTGCTAACCCACCCAGCAGCTCTGAGGAAGAAAGACCTGGTGATCCGCTCCTGTAAAGATTACAGCATAGGAAAAACCACTATGGGCAGTTCTACTCTGTAATACATGGGGTTGCTATGAATCAGAAACAACTCGAGGCACCTAACAACAACTGTGTGACTCCTGTGCCTGTTCTTCCTCCAAACCACCCTGCCTCCAAAGAGAGAAACAAGAGAAAGAGAAATAAGATGGCCATACATTTAGACATGGAAGAAAAGTACCTTTGCCATAGACGGTAATTTACTTACCAGAGGCTTATCTAGGGTCCCACTCAAGTGGACGGAGAACGAGTGGCGTAAGCACAAATGCTCTCTGTCCTTTAACGGGAAGCAATGAGAAAATATTTGAGGAACTAAAACAGAAAACAGATTTCACACTGTCTGAGAAATCACCAGTAAATAATGTAAGGTAGTGCATCAACAGGGCTTTGTCAGGCCCCAATGAGAATAACAAAACCTACCCAGTCCCACAACAGGAAGTACTCTATTCTAAGTAGTTAAGTAAGACTTGTTCTTAACCTGAGAAATAATGGTGCTAGTGTAAATCTTATTTCTTTGATGGTGATCTTTTCTATCTGTCTGGTACTTTGCAGGATCTTCTCTTTTATTCTTGGGGTTTTAAAACTTCAAAAGACTGTGTCTACTGTGTCTAGGGTGGGTCTTTCCACATTCATTGTACCAGGCACTCAATGGACTTTTTCAGTCTGAGCACTTGGGGCTCTCATTAACTCTGGGAAATTATCTTCTATTATTTCTTTGCTCATTTCTGACCATCTGCTAGTCTCTTTTCAGTCTTTCTGGTATTCCCATTATTCAGATGGGATTTAAGATTCAGATTGATCATTTAAGCTTTTATTTTCTTGTTTTCTCATATATTCTCAGTATTTTTGCTCTACTTTCTGGGAGATTTCTTCTCCTTTATCTTCCAACTCTCCAATACCCAAAAGCCCACTGCCATCAAGTTGATTCCGACTCACAGCAATCCTATAGGACAGAGTAGAACTGTTCCCTAGGGCTTCCAAGGCTGTAAATCTTTACAGAAGCAGACTGCCACATCTTTCTTCCCCAGAGCGGCTGGTGGGTTCGAACCACTGACATTTTGTTAGCATCGACCTTTCGGTTAAACCACTGAGCACTTTAACCACTGCACCACCAGGGCTCCTAACACTCCAATAGCATTTTATTTTTATTTTTGTTTTTTTATTGTACTTCAGGTGAAGGCTTACAGAACAAATAGCTTCTCATGAAACAGTAGTACACATATTGTTGTATAACATTGGTTAACAACCCCACAACATGTCAAACCTCTAACTTCTCAACCTTTTTTTTTTGGTGAAAATACACATAGCCAAAGATACACCATTTCAAAAATTTCTACATGCACAGTTCAGTGACATTGACTACGCTCTTCCAATTGTGCTGCTTCCAATAGCATTTTTTAATTTGAGCAATTAAACTTTTAATATCCTATAGGTCTTTCTCATTCCTTATTTTCATAGTGTTCAATCTTTTTTTTTTTTTTTTTACCAATATGATCTTTTAACCAATACAATCTTCCTGAATCTCTCTGGGGATACCAATAGTTAAGTTCTTCTGTTTTCTGAATTATCTCTGTTACTGCCAATGTTATCATTACTATTTCTTTGGTGTTTATTTTTCACATTCCCGGCTTTCCTCAAATGTCTAACGATCCTTGGTTTTCAATCCATGTTCAAGAGTGAGGCAATTTAAAGACTGATTGGTCAAAATATGTTTGAAAAAAACCTAATTAGGACCTACAGGAGTGTAACTTGAACCTGGGCCCTTCACTTTATGGTGAGCAGATTAGGCAGCCCATATTTACCCTGGAGAAGTTGTAAATGTCAGTGTAACCGACAGGGTTAAACTATTCCCCCTTCTGAAATGTAACGGATGGGGTTAAACTATTCCCCATTCCTCCTCCCATCCCAGGGAGGCTTTCTGAGTTCCTGATAAGACATTTATGTGTTGTCTGTGTAACAACACAAGGTCTTTACTGTTGCTTCTCTGCTCAAGGCCGCTTCACTACTCACCAACTACCCACCCTCCATTCGAACATGAGCACTAAGCCGCAGATCTGGCCTTAGATAAACTTCGTGTCATACCCCCAGCCATCATATTGCACCCCCATACATGTTAACAAGTTCCTGAAATTGCCTGCCTGTTCCCAGAACTTCATGAATTATGTGTAAGTTCCTTATCCTGAACAGTGTAACTGCCCTAAAATCCCCAACTTGCAGGAGCTTGATTTGAGACGTAGTCTCTGAGCTCCTTGCTTGACTAGCTTGCAATAAAGTCCACTTTCTCTTTCAGAAAGCCTGGTATCTCTCAATTGACTTGAGGGGTCGCACTGGGCAGGACCCATTCCCATCGGGTTACATAAGGAAAACACTTTAGAAAAAATGATTTCAAGTTATCTGTAAAGACAAAAAAATATACATATATGTACATGGTCACTAACGGTCGGAATTGGCTCCACGGCAACGGGTTCAATGGGTAAAGACAAAGCCAGCAGCTGAGCTCTCACTTGAGGAAGTTCCTTGAAATAAAATGGCCACTTCTTTTTTTTTTTTTTAATTGTGATTTAAATGAAAGTTTATAGAGCAAATTAGTTTCTCATTAACCAGTTAACATACAATTTTTGTTGTGACATTAGTTGCCAACTCCTTGATACGTCAACCGCCTCAGTTTCCCTGTTCCCATTCATCCAGTGTTCCTGTCCCTTTCTGCCTTCTTGTCTTTGTTTTTGGGCTAGTGTGCCGATTAGTCTCGTATATATGATTGAATTATGAAGCACGACCTTCACATGTGTTATTGTTGGCCCTATAGACCTGCCTAATCTTTGGCTGAAGGGTGAACCTCAGTAGTGACTTCAGTACTGAGTTAAAAGGGTTCGGGGGTCATACTCTCGGGGTTTCTCCAGCCTCCATCAGACAAGCAAGCCTGGTCTTTTTGTACGTGTGTGTAAATTTGAATTTTGTTCTACATTTTTCTCCTGCTCTGTCCGAGACCCTCTATTATGATACCTGCTAGAGCAGTCAGTGGTGGTAACTGGGCACCATCCAGTTGTTCTGGGCTCAGTCTGGTGGAGGTTGTGGCAGTTGAAATACATTAGCCCTTTTGTGACCCTAATACCTCGCAACATGTTTTCTCCTTTTCAAGATGGGTGATTGAGAGCCTGACATAATTAAAGCCGTAATGATACCCTAAGTAACCTGTAAGTTTTTTTAACTGTACCAGCTGCACTGGTCTCTTTCCAAAGGGGTGCGGGGCCTCCTCGGCTCTTGCAGCCTTGGTCTCCCTCCTCCTCATTGGTCTCTTGGGAGATGGCCTTCAGCCTGCAAGGCAGCAGCTAGGAAGTCTACCTGATGCTTTTGGTCTGTAACTTTCTTCTTGCTCCTTATCTCAGTCAGAGTAAACTTGGCAGGCCAGTTCCACTAGCCAAAAGATTTTTATATAAGTTTTTTTTTTTGCCTGTAACAAACATAAAGATTAGAGCCCAGATGTCTGGTATGCATATCTTTAGTTTAATAAAGAGTTTCTTGTAGCTGTTTTGTGATGTGTACTTATTTGAGCATCTGTGGGCTATGTAATCCTTACAAAAATGATATATAAGCTCTGATGTAAAAATTGCTTTTTGGGACTCCATAAAGACCGCCTATGTTCCTGTTGGACTCCCCGTTGGTGTCACCTTCTAATAAACTCTTTCTGACTTGGAGTATGTTTCATTGGCTCGACTGCTCCAGGGCATGGACGCTAATCAGGCAACACTTTGGACTAATCTTTCCCTTGTGTCTTTTGTCTTCTTCATCCTCCTTTGCTCCAGCCATGACGGGACCAGTAGATGTATTTTAGACGGTCACTCGCAGGCTTCTAAGATCCCAGTTGCTACTCACCACAGTCAGATGTAGAACATTTTCTTTATAGACTAGGTTATGCCACTTGAGCTAGATGTCCCCCCCGAGACCATGGTCCCCAGCCTTCAGCCCAGTTGCTCGGTCTCTCAGGGCGCTTGGATGTGTCTGTCATTTTGCCTTGGTCTAGTTGTGCTGACTTTCCCAGTGTTGTGTACTGTTTTACTCTTCACCAAATTTACCACTTATCTACTGTTTAGTGTTTTCCCCTCTCCACCCCCACCTCGTAACCATTAAAGATTTTTTCTGTGTGAAAAAATTTTCATGAGATTTTATAATAGTGGTCTCCCCACAACCTCACCAACATTTGTTATTTTCTGTTTTATTGATTTGTACCAGTAATGTCGGGGTGAGATGGTATCTCATAGCAGTTTTGATTTGCATTTCTCTAATGGCTAGTGATTGCGAGCATTTCCTCATGTGTCTGTTAGCCGCCTGAATGTCTTCTTTAGTGAAGTGTCTGTTTGTATGCTTTCCCCATTTTTTAATGGATTATTTGTCTTTTTATTGTAGAGGTGTTGGATTTTTCTATAGATTTCAGAGATTAGACCTTTGTTGGATATGTGATTGCCAATTTTTTTTTTCCCAGTCTGTAGATTCTCTTTTTACTCTTTTGGTGAAGTCTTTTGATATGCATAAGGGTTTAATTTTTAGGAGATTCCATTTATCTAGCTTATCTTCTGGTGTTTGTGAATTGTTGATTATGGTTTGTATTCTGCTTACACCATATATTAGGACCCCTAGTGTTGATCCTATTTTTTCTTCATGATCTTTATAGTTTTTGGTTTTATATTTAGGTCTTTGATCCATTTTGAATTAGTTTTTGTGTGTGATGTGAAGTATGGGTCCTGTTTTATTTTTTTGCAGATAGGCATCAGTTTTGCCAGCATCATTTGTTAAAAAGATCGTCTTTTCCCATTTAATGGACTTTGCACCTTTCTCAAAGATCAGGTGGCTGTAGGAAATGGATTTATGTCTGAGTTCTCAATTCTGTTCCATTGGTCAATGTGTCTGTCATCGTACCAGTACTAGGCTGTTATGACTACTGCTACTGTATGGTAGGTTTTGAGCTCAGATAATATGAGACCTCCTACTTTGTTCTATGTCTTCAATAATGCTTACTTACCCAGGGCCTCTTTCTTTTCCGTGTAAAGTTAATGATTAGTTTTTCCATCTCTTTAAAGAATGCTGTTGGTATTTGGATCAGTATTGCATTGTTTGTAGATTGCTTTGGGTAGAATTGACATTTTCACAATGTTGAGTCTACCTATCCATGAGCATGGTATGTTTTTCCATTTATGTAGGTCTCTTTTGGTTTCTTGCAGTAGTGTTTTGTAGTTTTCTTTGTATAGGTCTTTTACATCCCTAGTTAGATTTATTCCTAAGTATTTTATTTTTTCAGGGGCGATTATAAATGGTATTGCTTTCCTGATTTTCTTTTTGTAGTTCTCTTTATTGGTATATAGGAATCCAGC